TTTAAAACTAATCTGAGTAGTCAGATTCCAAATCACTGAGCAGAGGCAAAACAGGATCCCGCTCCCCTCTACAAGAGTGAGAGAAGGGATGACTTTAAAAAGAAGAATGAGGGTCGGCCCATGGCTCACTCGGGAGAGTGCGGTGCTGATAACACCAAGGCCCCGGGTTTGGATCCCATATAGGGATGGCCGGTTAGCTCACTGGCTGAGCATGGTGCTGACAACACCAAGTCAAGGGTTAAGATCCCCTTACCGGTCATCTTTAAAAAAAACAAAAAACAAAGTGGGAGCAGTATTGGGGACTGAGTCCTTAACTTATGGGATCTGATGCTACCTCCAGGTAGATAGTGTCAGAACAGATTTGAATTAGAGGACACCCAGTTGGTGTCCACTGTGGAACTGATTGCTTGCTTAGTGTGTAGGGAGAAACACCCCCACATCTGGTGTCAGAAGCATGTTGTGAGAGTACAGTGAGAGAAACTGATACCAAATGAGTAGGAAAAAAATACTCAGTTAAGTTACTCCCAGTATACTCCAATACCACTTCCCATACCAATCATAAACTCCAAGTTATTTTGCCTGTGCTACTGACTGACTAGCTATTAACTGGGGTTCCCACAACCCCCTCCCTTGAGTTCAACTGATGCACTAGAGTGGCTCACAGAACTCAGAGAAACATATCTACATTTACCAGCTTATTACAAAGGATAGAAAGGATAGAAGAGATGCATAGGGCAAGGTATGGGAGAAGGGGACTGGATCTTCTATGCCCTCTTCAGGTGCGCCACCCTCCAGCAGCCTCCATGTGTTCAGCTATCCCAAAGCTCTCCAAACCCAGTCCTTTTGGGTTTTTATGGAGGCTCATTACAGAGGCATGACTTACTAAATCATTGGCCATTGGTGATCAACTTAACTTTGAGCCCTTCTTCCCCTCCCAGGAGGTTGTGGGGTGGGGCTTAAAGTCCCAACCCTCTAATCCCGCCTTGTTCTTTCCAGTGACCAGCCCTCATCCTGAAGCTACCTAGGGCTGCCAGCCATCACTCAACTCATCAAAAAGACACTCATCACTTTGGAGATTCCAAGGATTCTAGAAGTTGTATGTCAAGAGACTAGGACAAAGACCAAATATATATTTCACAGTATCACAGTCTCCCATTTAAATGGGAAAAAATTAAGGCAAGAAGCTGTAGACAACACCACCCTATGGACACTCAAAAGCAGAACTGTGTGTCACCTCAGCCATGCAGACTAACCTAAAGGTGGTACTTTCTACAGGCTGACTAACTGAGACAACGGAATCCTTAATTTGGGTTTGACTGACCATGGTCCTGAAAGGTAGATGGGTCAGACACTCACAGAGCAACCACTCTTCCACAGTCCCACACCACACACCTGCAAAGGAACATCCAGAAGAAATAAAACTGAACCTCAGGGCTGGCCAGTTAGCTCAGGTGGTTTGTTAGCATTACAACACTAAGGTGAAGGGTTTGGATCCCCGTACAGGCCAGCTGCCAAAAAAAATATACAACTGAACCTCATTCCACCTTCTTGAGTATCAGGGCCCCTGTAAGCAACTGAGAGGTTTCTCATGAGCTTTCTAAGAACAAAACTGGAGCACTTTCAACATTGGTGAGAAATGAAGGCAGACAACAAAACATTACTGGACTGAAGAGGAACAGAAGCCCAATAATCCCAATTTGTCTCTTTACCAGGTCCCACTAGCTATGAAGGATGGTGCAAGGTTACCCGTTTGCAAATTCCTAATAAAAAATAAAATTGAACCACAACTCCAAAACATCTTCTGAAAACTGGGCCAAGATGTATGGCACCTGCCACAGAATGCCTCTTGAGGGACTTCACTAAGGCAAAGTGTGTGGCTCTCTGCATCCCTCCTGCTCCTTAGCAGGGGAGTGGGCCCTGGGACCCCACCTCACTAACAGCAATACCGTGATCCAGTGCCTCGCTGGAGGGCTTATCCAGGGTCTGGGGCCTGGACCACCTGGGTGACTGACAGACAAAGTGGTTCTGGAATCAGCTCCATCAGGCAGCGCTTTGCTTTCCATTGCCCATGAGGACACACATTCTCAGCTTGCTTCTGAGTTGTGACCAAGCTGTCCAAGAACTGCATCCACTCTAGAGCAGAGCATGTCAGACTCTCAAAGTGGACACAAATCCCCTGGAAATTCTGATTCTGCAGGTCTTGGGTGGGGCCTGAGATTCTGCATTTCCATAAACCCTTACGCGATGCCCATACTGCTGGTCTATGGACCACACTTTGAGTAGCAAGGCTCTGTACTATATGCTCCTCATCTTTGCAGTAGATGAATCTCCTTGGGCACAGCTGCCTTTCTCCTTTCACCAGTCTTTGACCCTGCTCTGACCCATCTCCCTCCTTCCACCGAACATACTGTCAAGTTTCACTGTGTTTCTAGAGAGTAGCAATAACATGCACAACCTGAAGGTCATTTACATTTAGTGATAGAATACATGTTTTTTTCAACATACATACTTTCCCAGCCCCACAGAAAATAGGAATTGAGCCATCAACGGGCCTAGGGTCATGATGTAACTACTCCAGAAACTTTTTGTCAACTGCAGTCTCTGAACTTAGCCATCAAGCTTAGCTGTGGCTCAGTCTTGGCAAGCATCTCTAACTCTGCTATGTCCAATCCCTTCTGGAATCCTTTCAGATTTTCTGCCTGTCCCTGTCCTTTAAGAGTTAATTATAACTTTTTTAAAGAGTACTGAGGAAACCTACATATGATATTCCAGGTCTTGAGCTATCACAGGTAAGCAAAATGTCAAATTACTTTGCATTTGGTAAGCTGAGACACAGGAGGAAGAGGCTGGGGACTCTGCCTATTCTCAGATTAAACATCTGTCCATACAGAGAAGATGGTCTCTCTATAAATCTAAATGGGAAGATAAACCCATGGGCAGACATCCCCTCTCATCATGTGCCAACACGTTTTTTTTTCTTTGTAGATTTTTACTGGATAATGATGGACTAAAAGCATCATTATTTGATCTCAATGTGTGCTGCTGTGAAATGATACGGTCTTTGAACAATAGTCTTTTTAATACTGCATTTTAAAGACTACCTTGTAAAATAGCCACCAAGGGACTCTAGGACTCTATTGCCCTCCCTCACAAATTCAGCACGAAACCCCCATGGAGGCACAGCTAAGGCACATCCCTCACCTGAGGAAGAAAGCACATACATACCCAGTTTGGGGACCGGCTGTGTATCCCAGAACTGGTAGCTTCGCTTGCTAGCCTCCTCCATGGTTTTGGCAGGTCCCTGACCCACTGAGAACAGCCCAATGGCCTTCTGTATTTCCTGGATCCTCTCTGCTGGCAAAGAGTTCATCTGGGCAAGACAAAGTTGGGGAAAGAAAGGCCCATTATATTAGTAAGACTTTTGACTAATTATGAGTTCGAAAGTTAAAGGGTACAACTCAAAGAAAGGGTGTGTAGTTCCTCTGTTCTAATCCCAGAAGTCATATATTGTACGACAACTGGAGAAAGGGTGGTTGGTGATGAGCTCTACTATAGGTGGTTGCTGCCTGTGGGGTTTCTCCTCTCGCACTGTTCCACGGCAAAAGTAATACATGCACAGTGTAAAATTTCAAACAACGCAGAAATGTGTAAGACACATAGAAAGTAAAAACCTAACAACACCATCCTTTAAATATAATCCTTGTCATCAACAGTCTTAATTTGGGAGAGCGAGAAGAGGCAAATATAATTCCAGACTTTTTTGCATGCAAGTTCCAAACACACACACACACTTTTGAAGAACTAAAATTGGAATATACAATATTATTCTACAAACTGCTCTTTAAACAACTGCCTCTCAGGTGAGGACGCATAGATCTGCCCATTTTAACAACTAAGTCCACTGTAAGTATGGACTTAGCCAGCACCCTACTGATGGGCATTGTGGTGGTTTTATTCTTCAATTTTACAAGCAATGCTATAATGAATTTTTTTGTACATCTATTTTTGCTCACTAGGATATGTATTCCTGCAGTATAAAGTTTAAGAGTCTTGCTAGGTCAAAGGTATGCACATTTGAAATTATACTACATATCATCAATTTGCTCTCTTTAAAAAGAGAGATGGCCAGTTAGCTCAACTGGTTAGAGTGCAGTCTTATAACCCCAAGGTCATGGGTTTAGATTCCCATACCAGCCAGCTGACAAAAATAAAAAAATAAATTTGTCAGTTTTTGTTTTATGGCTTCTGGGTCTTATGTCAGGCTTAAGATGACAAAAATACCCATGTTTTTTTCTAATACTTTTACCTTACTATTTTTTAAAATTTAGATTGTGAAGGAAAGGAAGAATATAAACCAATATATTTATATTTCTTATTTCTGGGAGGTAGGACTTTAAGTGATTTTAATTTTCTTCCTCTTGCGTGTTTTTAAAATAAGTTCTCTACAATGAACTACATTACTCTTGTAAAGATGAAAACAGAAGGGCTATGTGAATTGTGTTTTTTTTTTTTTTTTTTTTAAAAATGACCGGTAAGGGGATCCTAACCCTTGACTTGGTGTTGTCAGCACCACGCTCAGCCAGTGAGCCAACCGGCCATCCCTATAACCGGGATCCGAACCCTGGGCCTTGGTGTTATCAGCACCACACTCTCCCGAGTGAGCCACGGGCCAGCCCTGAATGGTGTTTTGTTAAAAATTTCTAATTTCAAAGTGAACCGTTTTGAGTTCAAATCCCTGTGGACCCATCTAAACACCCACTCCCAGATAAACAAACAAAAATTTCTAAAGCCAAAGCATGGGCTTGGGTTAGAATTCCTGACTGAAAGTCACCTCTCTCATGTTTAAAATGGAGAGACCCCACCTAGCTAGGAGAGTGAAGGTTTAGCCTAATTTAAAAGAAGTGCCTGGCAAGAGCTTAGCGAACATGGTGGTCAACAATAGTGGTAGTTTTTTACATACTGGGTTTGATATTGGAAGTAGTCAAAAATTGCTTGAAGCTATGTCTCAATAAGGTGGGAGATTCAAGCTGGAGTGTAACATTTGAGGCATAAAACAAGGTGTGGGCATACTGGAATGAGAACAGACTTCTTGCTAGATGTACAGACTATTTCCAGAGGCAATTCTTTTTTGTTTTGTTTTGTTCTGGCAGCTGGCTGGTACAGGATCGAACCCTTGACCTTGGTGTTATCAGCTCACTGGCCAGCCCCAGAGGCAATTTTAAAAGGGTAAGAGTTATTGATATGTATTTTTTTTTTTTTTTTTTTTTTAAAGATGACCGGTAAGGGGATCTTAACCCTTGACTTGGTGTTGTCAGCACCACGCTCAGCCAGTGAGCGAACCGGCCATCCCTATGTGGGATCCGAACCCGGGGCCTTGGTGTTATTAGCACCGCACTCTACCGAGTGAGCCACGGGCCGGCCCGAGTTATTGATATGTTTTGAGCTGCCCCTCCCCAGGCCTACTTTGAAGACAACACTTATCTGAAATCAAAGGTTTTCTTTTGTAATATTTTATTTAAGAAACAAAGCAATGCTCACCCACAGCTCTGGGTTTCATGTCAGTGTGTCAGTCTTGGGTTGTCAGCTCTAGGCCAGTGGTTCTCAACGAGTAGAACTCAGAAACAGACTCTGCGGGACTCAGAGTTTCCATTATAGTGACTATGCCATTAAGAGAATGCTTGCAAATATAGAAAGGTCTGACTTAAGGGCCGGCCCGTGGCTCACTCGGGAGAGTGTGGTGCTGATAACACCAAGGCCCCGGGTTCGGATCCCACATAGGGATGGCCGGTTGGCTCACTGGCTGAGCGTGGTGCTGACAACACCAAGTCAAGGGTTAAGATCCCCATACCGGTCATCTTTTTAAAAAAAAAAAAAAAGAAAGGTCTGACTTAAGGGCCGGCCCGTGGCTCACTCGGGAGAGTGTGGTGCTGATAACACCAAGGCCCCGGGTTCGGATCCCACATAGGGATGGCCGGTTGGCTCACTGGCTGAGCGTGGTGCTGACAACACCAAGTCAAGGGTTAAGATCCCCATACCGGTCATCTTTTTAAAAAAAAAAAAAAAGAAAGGTCTGACTTAAGGGCCGGCCCGTGGCTCACTCGGGAGAGTGTGGTGCTGATAACACCAAGGCCCCGGGTTCGGATCCCACATAGGGATGGCCGGTTGGCTCACTGGCTGAGCGTGGTGCTGACAACACCAAGTCAAGGGTTAAGATCCCCATACCGGTCATCTTTTTAAAAAAAAAAAAAAAAAGAAAGGTCTGACTTAAGAAGAGGCCTTTCACTCTTACAGTGGTAGACTTAAGACAGAGAAGGCTGAGAACCACTGCTCTAGGCAACAGGGGCTGTCACAACATAATTATCCCATGGCACCTGGCACAGCACCACATGCAGTATGCACCTGTAAATTTTGATGGGTACCATGCTTGGGAGTCAGTGTCTAACCTGCTGTGTCTTTTAAGGTACTGAGAGCAGTTTCATCACCTAGGTCTAGGGCAGCAGAGGACAGCACTGGAATCCAACTCTTCCTTCCATCTTGAAGTAATACCAGTGGAGATCATCAATCTAAATTGTTCCTATACATTTACCTCAAAACTCTCTCATCGAAAAAGTGACTCTCAGCCACAAGAAAACAGAGCCTCCTTGTTACCTTCATAGGCTGATCCTGGGTTGAATCTGTCTCACTGCTTTTTTCTTTCTTCTTTTTCTGTTTCTTTTTCTTCTTTTTGGCTCCAGTGTCATTGGCTGGACTCAAACCACTGTGAGACAAAGTAAATACTGATGCAGGGTTTTTAAAAAAAATCATCTGTTGTGAGCTACACTGACAAAGAGCTTTCTGTGGAGCCAGACCTTCCTTAATCAAGCCTGTTGGCTCTGAAGCAGACTGGAGAATCCAGGTCCCAGAAGGGGCATTTGGAGGACACCAGCAAGCACAGTTCTCCTCCCCACCCCACCCACCCTTTCAACTTCCCAGGGAGGGAGCAGGAGCATTGTGCAAGGAATGTCCTATTTGTTTTAAAGGGCCTTTTCCGTTCTTGCTTTTATTTTATGTGCTTATTTTCTTTAGATTGCCAGGTTGATGGCACCGAAACCAAATGATAATTGTTAACAGGACATTCACACCACCACCACTTCCTTAGAGCCCTCAGTTTAAAAGAATGACAACCAAAAGGCAATATTGGTCTTTTTAGAATGCTTTGCCCTTCCTTCCCTTTACCCCCAAATGCACTGTTTTATGAGGTTCCCCAGCTGGATCTAAAGCACAAGGCAGTGTGGAAAAGGGACAAAGGGATAAGGAAAAAGACAGTTTAACATTGCTGTGAAGGCCGGCCCGTGGCTCACTTGGGAGAGTGTGGTGCTGATAACACCAAGGCCACAGGTTCGGATCCCATATAGGGATGGCCGGTTAGCTCACTTTGGAGAGCGTGGTGCTGACAGCACCAAGTCAAGGGCTAAGATCCCCTTACTGGTCATCTTTTAAAAAAAAAAAAAAACACATTGCTGTGATCTCTGTCCAAATAGTCAATCATGAGAAATGCCTAAATCAAGCCTATAGGACTGAGGACAACCATCAGCTGGCTCAGACTGAGTGATCACCATGGGCAAAACCCAGCACTAGGAATCTTGGGAAGATAAAAAAACAAACAACAAGAACAATAGCACCCAGCTACTCCTGCCATGGAGAGATGTGGTGAAACGTGTGTGTGTATGTGTGCGTGCGTGCGTGTGTGTGTGTTAAAGGGGGCTTCCTTACGCTCCTTGCCTCTACATGAAACATCCAGTGGATGCGGCAAAAAGTTTCTTAGCCACGTTAATAAGTTAATATTAGGAGTCCAACCTGAGTACAGTGAACCCTAATCTGCAGGGTCAGCAAAGGACAGGGTATCATTTTAACTGTATATTCTAGATAGCCAATTTTCTTTCTTTCTTTTTTTTTTTTAAAGATGACCAGTAAGGGGATCTTAACCCTTGACTTGGTGTTGTCAGCACCACGCTCACCCAGTGAGCTAACCAGCCATCCCTATATGGGATCCGAACCTGGGGCCTTGGTGTTATCAGCACCACACTCTCCCAAATGAGCCACGGGACGGCCCATAGATAGCCAATTTTCAAAGAACAGTGTCAAATATATTTTCCACGGCTGGCCGGTTGCTCAGTCAGCTAGAGCACAGCCTAATGACACCAAGGTCATGGGTTCAGATCTCCATACTGGCCAGCCGCCCAAAAAAAAAAAAATTTTTCCATTAACATTATTGTAAACACCTTTATAATTCAGGAAGACTTCAGGGTCTCAAAATGCCTTGGGGTTATTAAGAATATTAATACCTAATAGTTATAGGGAGAAAGCAATCTGTATTCATGGGCTGCCATTTCCTTTTGTAGAATGTCTTCAGTTTCATGTCTTCCTATTACTGCTAGGAACACTTGCGTCTGAACTTCGTGACCTTACCCTCGGATTAAAGTTACCTCCAGCCTTTACTGGATCTCCCTGATTTCACAATCTTTCTGCATCATCCTAAACTCTAATAGCTGTGGGTCTTAACTCTGTGAAAACAGCTTTCCATGTGTCCATTCCATGCTTGAAACCTTACAGTGACAGCAGTTTCTTAACATGGAAGGTATCAAGCCCACAAGGTCCCTAGGGCCATCACTCTCAGTTCCCATCTCAGCTGTCCACCCCTCATCTCCCACTGCTTTCATGGGAGCAGGCCTCTCAATGGCCGCTGATACAGAAAGACTGTGAAGGCAAAACATGGAGGGAAGATTGATAATATTCAGAGGAAAAATAAAGTGAACTCCTTAAAACCAGATGCTCAGCAAACCCTCGATGGCCATGGCAAAGAACAGGAATCATGGAGTCATTTATGGGCCCCGATAACTTTTTCCTCTTAATAATTCCATTTTGTTAGCACACACAGGCCCATTTGCAGCCTGTGACACCTCTACGTTGTTTTTGTATTCCGGAGATATTCTCACTTCAGTCTCAGGATTATGTGTATTATAAGGTTTAAAAACTGGTTGATATTAGGAGACAAAGCAGCATCCCACTGATAGATATAATTTACAAATCCTTATTTATGTCAGCTCATGGAATGAATTATCTGGTCACTGTATACGAATTACCATAAAAATAATTCTTTATAATTCTATGGAAAGAAGAATCAAAAGGTCAAAGTGAAGTATTGCTGCATATTAACCAACTGGATAGTTACTAAACACAATGCCACATAAAGAAAATAGAAGAAATTACTTCTTCCAACTTTAGAAGCCTTTACAAGTGTGCAGACTCACTATAAAAACCATCTTACTGCTTTTGCTCTTGCTCTTCGGTGGAGATACTTCTGTGCAGCCATCACCTCAAAGACCCCATTTTTGTGGAAGGATATTGGACAGAACTATTGTTCTGTGTTTATGCATTACCAATGCATGTGCCTGGCAAACTCCAAGACCCAAACTAAAACTAGAGAGCTAATTTCATTTTCCTTGTATTGGCTTGAATTTGCACATGCAGATACTGAACAACAATCCTGTTTTAACGTGTACATCAAGCATACAGACAACTGAAGAACAAAGAGAATTTTTCTTAAATGAGTGAGTCGTTTTCACTGAGGTACCAGGCATAGAACCACGTCCATGAGAACACACTGTCATGAGCTCCCCATGGTCTTACAGTCACACTCCCAAACAGAAGACAACTGACTCAGGCAAGAGACTTCCAAGGAGTCGATTAGGGTTAGTCTTCAAGGTAATTATACTAATTTTAATTATTCATAAGAAAGCAAGCCCAGAGCAACTGGTCAGCTGCCAAAAAGGAAAAAAGAAAAAAGATACTAAACTAAAAGATTAAATTAATAAAAAATAAAAAAAAAAAAGAAGAAGAAGAAGAAGAAGAAGAAGAAGAAGAAACCAAGCTCAGAGGCCTTGAGTAGGACTTCAAGAAACATCCTAGGAAGTCAAAGCCATCTCACAGAAGAACGGCCTCAATCTGGATCCGGGAGAACCAAATCAGAGGACCTCACAGAAGCCAGGATAGACCGTCTCCAAGAATTTAGCATCATTTTTAAAGGGACTTGGGGCTGGCTGGTTAGCTCAGTTGGTTAGAGCACAGTGTTGTAACACCAAGGTCAAGGGTTCATATACCCACACTGACCACTGTCCAATCAATCAATCAATCAATCAATCAATGTACTTGAAGCCCACACTCCCTGGGTGGGTATCTGAGGGTATACTGGGATTCAGCAAATTGAAACAAAAATCTCTCAGAGATCTAAGCCACCTTAATATACTTCAAACTGAGATTGATTTGCTTTACGTAAGGTCTGGTTCTGATCAAAGTCCAACTTGTTTCATTTGGTTCCAAAATAAAAAGCAGAAAAATAGGTAAATTTGCCTTCTGGAGGAGGAGATGCCTCCTATGGAAAGAGACAAGGGACTTCATAAAAAAATTTTTGAGACTTACGTTCTTTTTTTTTTGTCCTTTTTGAGGCCGGCCGCACCACGCTCAGCCAGTGAGCGCTGTGAGCGAACCAGTCATCCCTATATAGGATCTGAACCCGCAGCGGGAGCGCTACTGCACTCCCAGCGCTGCACTCTCCCGAGTGCGCCACGGGCTCGGCCCGAGACTTACATTCTAAAGGAAGCTGATCAACTCAAGTCATTAATGATCCACCTCGCAAAATATGGGACAAATTCACAGAATGACATATCCAAGAACAGGGAAGAAAAAAGCAATCAAACAAAAGTCACCTTTTAATGAAGGCCAAATAGTCTAAGTTCAAACATATAAGAAATCCTACAGATGCTCTTGTATAACATCAGGGCTGGGGGAGGAGCTGGAAAATGAAACTCAGTACTTATTTCTAGAAATAGAATGCAATGCCGGGTGGATGAGCGGGTAGGAGGTAAGGGCAAGCTGACAGATGAACAGCAGGAGCACAGAACTTCCAGATAACACGAGCAGCTAGGGCCCACAATGTGGGTTTCCTCTCAGTCTCACTGGATGACACAAACCACTCCAAGGTGCATGCCTGGGAACAGAAAGCTTTTATCACAGGGAATGCAAGCTAACCCTCTCCAGTGCTGAAGGAACCTCAGGGCCATCTGCTTAAACTGTTGTTTACAGATAAGGAAACCGAGGCCCAGAGACCTGAGGCAAATTGGTCATCAACTAACCAACTAGTACCCAAGGACAAGCCACCAATCTCTAAAAACTTGGGGCCATTTCTCCCCAAATGCTACAGTCTCGTTCCCTGTAAGAATGTATCTGAGAATGCTCCAAAGCCAAAAGAATATTAATTGTTTCATCACACTGGGCCCTAGAAGAAAGTTTTAGTGCATGAGATGAGCAAGTGTTAGAGGTCGTAGTGTTAGGGGAGTAGGCCGTGGTTCATCCTGAAGCCTCCTCTGACTACTCTAGTTCTCACAGGTGTCTGCATGTTTCAAGATTATGGTCTTCCAAGCAGCTTAATACTTTATACATAATAAGGATTGTTTCCTTAGCTTCCCAGTGACATTTAAAACTTCCTGAGCACAGGGACCACATCTTATCCAGCTGTTTCCCACAGCACCTCTAGTTATGCTGAGCACACAGTTAAGGGTTTGACAAACATATGCCTGACTGACATATTCCAGACATAACAGACTAAAATAAAACCCTGAAAAGCCAGAGCCCAAAAGAGTTCAGCAAAACATCATTAGTACTGTTTCCATAGGACAGCTATGTTAATATTCTATGAAAGCAATGGAAACGCTGTGCTCT